AAGAGTAGGTGTGGCTTTTCAGAAGCAAAGCTCACTGAAGGGGCTATAGCTCTCTGTAGATAGTATGTCTGTCATTAATCAGGCTGGAGATCACTGTCAGAGTTAAGGTAGGTGAAGTGAACAGTTACTAAGTGGGGAAGGAAACACCTATAATATTTATAAGGATAGTTCAGGGAAGAATAATTTTTCAAGTCTCATCTGAATGTAAAACAAACAGCTTTTTTTTCTTTGTTGCCCTTTCCTTATGCTCCTGTTATTCGGATTTTAAATATAATTTAAAATTCATATTTAAAGTATGCTGCAGTCGCTGACTATCACGTATAGGAATTATTAAGTACTATTGGGGCATGGTAAAAGGGCATTTTAAAATGAAGTTGTATTTTGAAAGAACACAAAATGGGATTGAACCATAGCCAGATGAATTGAACAGACAGAGCTTAAATGGACAAAACTCAATGATATTTGATACAGCTGATGATTCTACTCACTGAATACTGAGTTAATACTGATGTGTTAGGAGTCTCTGCTACTGTTTCCATCATATTAGAATCAGTCACTGAGTTTTGTCGGTACAATCAATTTAGACTCGCTTTGTATGATACTGTTGCCCTTACTTCCGACACTAGTGTCCAATTGTGATACCATTGTCATTCCTCTGCAGAGCAATAGCAAATGTCCAGGTTCTTGCAGGACAGCTTCCCACTGGAGGAGAAACCAGTGATGCAGAGTTTGGGAATATTCTAAAGCATAAACTTGTTTTAGTTACACATATACACCAGTCCTGGAACACAGGTACTTAAACAGCATTCAGGCAAAGCCTTCTTTCAGATTTCTCTACCTAGAATTAATGCCCAGTTCCCAGGGAGATACTGTGCCTAAAGAATGGATTCTACTGAGAAACTGAGGCAGAAAGCAAATTCTCCTGCTACTTGCAAACCATCAGGACCACTGTCACGACACAAAGCCTTGCATAACAAAAACTAATACCATCATAGAATGTGTTCCAAAGCGTGAACATTGCACTCTAAGAAACGGAACTTGGAAGCTTTGTGTAACAGTGCCATTTGGTGACACCTATCATAATATGTAAGAACATTTACTTTGCCACTCTTTCATAATTGTATTTTGTCTATGCACATGTGAAATAAATACTACTAATAATGCGAAACCCTTACTAAACTCCACTACGAATACCACCATGGACATTTCAGAGCCCAGTTCAACAAGGCGGGAGGAGGAGGAGCAGCAAAGTGGGAGCGAGGGTGCTGAGATGGAGCACTCCAGACAGGAAGGTTGAGTATGATAACAGGACATACACAAATCTGTGATTGTACCATTCCCCACCCCACCCCCTTTCCCTTTCTGTTTCCCAAGCAGTTGTGTTTCTTTTCAATAAATGGATTTTTTGGCTTTGAAAACATTCTTTATTATTGCATAAAGTAAAAGATACCTTAACCCAGGAAAGAAACAGGCACTGCAAGTCAGCGTAGCAAACACAGATTCCTACTAACATTGGATCCACTGCACTTCACTCCCGTGCAGGGCACCAGACATTACTGGTGGCTTTCAGCCTTAAATTGCTCCCTTAAGGCAACCCTAATCCTTGTAGCCCAGCGCTGGGCCCCTCTAATAGCCCTGTTCTCTGGCTGTTCAAATTCAGCCTCCAGGTGTTGAACCTCCGATTTCCATGCCTGAGTGAATTGTTCACCCTTCCCTTTACAAATGTTATGGAGGGTACAGCACACGGATATAACCGCGGGGATGCTGTCATCGGCCAGGTCCAGCTTCCCATACAGAGAATGCCAGCAGCCCTTTAAACGGACAAAAGCACAATCCACAGTCTTTCTGCACCGCCTCAGCCTGTTGTTGAACCACTCCTTGCTGCTGTCAAGGCTCCCTGTGTAGGGTTTCATGAGCCACGGCATTAAAGGGTAAGCGGGGTCTCCAAGGATCACAAAGGGCATTTCGACTTCCCCTATGGTGATCTCCTGGTCTGGGAAAAGAGTCCCGGCTTGCAGCTTCCTGAACAGGCCAGTGTTCCGAAAGATGCATATGTCATGCACCTTTCCGGGCCAGCCTGCGTTAATGTCAATGAAAGACCCAAGGTGATCCACAAGCACCTGGAGAACCATAGAGAAATACCCCTTCTGATTAACGTACTCAGAGGCTAAGTGGGCTGGTGCCAGAATTGGAATATGTGTGCCATCTATCGCCCCTCCACAGTTAGGGAAACACATTTGTGCAAAGCCATCCACAATGTCATGCACATTACCCGGAGTCACGGATCTTCTGAGCAGGATGCGATTAATAGCCCTGCAAAGTTGCAGCAACATGATTCCAATGGTCGACTTCCTCACTCCAAACTGGTTAGCAACCGATAGGTAGCTGTCTGGACTTGCCAGCTTCAAGACTTCAATAGCCACCCGCTTCTCCACCGTCAGGGCAGCTCTCAATCTCGTGTCCTTGTGCTGCAGGGTGGGAGCGAGCTCCTCACACAGTCCCGTGAAAGTGGCTTTTCTCATCCGAAAGTTCTGCAGCCACTGATCGTCATCCCAGACTTGCATGACGATGTGATCCCACCACTCAATGCTTGTTTTCCGAGTCCAAAAGTGGCATTCCATGGTGGTGAGCATGTCTGTGAATGCCATAAGCAAACTCGTGTCATATGCGTTACTCGAGTCGACATTATCGTTGGAGCCCTCACTGTCACTTTGGATCATAAGGAATAACTCGACTGCCAAATGTGACGTGCTGGCAAGACTTGTCAGCATACTCCTTAGCAGTTCGGGCTCCGTTCCCGCAGACCGAAAGGGAAGACAGAGCGCGCAGTACAAAAAACATTGAAAGATGGCGCCAAATATGGACGGAAGCTGGGATTGCTGGGATGCAAACCAATGTATCACGGGGCTTTGAGACAGGACCCAGAATGCCCAGCACCTGCCACCCCCTTCCCACAAACCACAGCACCAGAATGGGAAGAGGTGCTCTGTGGGATAGCTGCCCATAATGCACCACTCCCAATGCTGCTGCAAGTGTCACAAATGTGGCCACGCCAGTGCGCTTGTTCCTGTCAGTGTGGACAGACTGCAGCGCTTTCCCTACTGAGCTCTCCAAAGGCTGGCTTAATCAAAGCACTCTACATCTGCAAGTGTAGCCATGTCCTCATATATCTGCTTTAACTTTGAACTCAGACACACAGCAATAATCTTCTATGTCCATAATCATCTCTGGACAACTGATGTGGTAGATGCTTCTGATGGCAGAATTTAGCCTTTAATGTGTGCTAAGATTTTAACATGTCAGTGACAGTTTAGAGGAAATTAACCAGTTAATGTGACATGGAAAAAATTTTCATCTGTCCTGCCAGAATATGGTTTAACACATGATGTTTATTATAAAGCGGCTATTCACCAGCTGTTGTTGGGTATGTTTTGGTTTGGGGAGGGGGGGGTGGAGGGGGTTTGGCTGAATAACATTTACAGAACTGTTTCCAGGTTTCATGGAATACACATTTTAAATTTTCCATGGATATGATTGAATTTTGAATTTCAAAGCCTTGTAAACATATCTTTGCTCAAATCTTGGTCATAAGTTGATGATCGTATGCATTACTCTTTGGGTCTTTAGAAGCAGTGAATCCTCAATGCCTATTTCTCGGTTTCTAAGGTAACAGAGAAAGATTTTTTTTTTCTTTTTTCCAATCAATCAGACTTTGAATATTCAAGACTTCTCCAGACAAGGAAAAAAAGCAAAAAACAGTATAATCTCAACAGAGGATTCTCTCTATATTTTACACACGGGCTTGATTTATAGACAAGAGAAACACAAACTACCCTTAAAACTGCAATGTGAGAGAACTGTGACAAACATAGTTGCAGGTCAGTAGAGCGTCAAGAATATTTAATCAGAGTCAAACTAAGGAATTACAAAAGTGCACCTCTACAGTCTCATTGTTTCATCATAGCATACATACAGAATGCAGATGAAGAATATATCTGATGGGATTATGCACACATTCTAGTCACTGATGGCATTCTGGTAAACCAAATCTTTTTATTTGCGGAACTCTGTCTATCTGCCTACAAGTTATTGCTATTGCCTATATTTGTGTTACCTACCCCTTCCTCCCCAGGACACTTATTACTTACTTCACTGTACTGTACATCAGATGCAAGATGCATAGCACTAAAGATTATATGTTTAAATATAACAATAATCATTGTTCATAAATAAATAAACATATAGTCCTTTCCTAAAAAACAACCATGTTATTTTCATTAAACAAAAACATATGCTTTTATCACAACTGGTTTAAATTAATCATTTTTGGCAGCTGGCAGTGTTGACTGTATTTTCCTCTTACTCTGAGTGCAGGAGTTGTTGCTGTTTTTAATCTACAGATTAAACAAGAGGTTGCCAAAAATGAATATTATTCAAATTTAGGTTTTTGTATCTTTTATAAACCATAACTTCATGTAAAGTTTCTGGATAACTTCTATGGTTACTAAAAAATTAAATAAAAGAATTTAAACCATCATCCCTTACTTAACAGGATATGATGTACCTGCTTATTAATATACACACATCATCTAGTGATAAAATAATCATATTGCAGTTCTCCAGTGCCCTTCATCTTAATATCTCAAAGCACTTTGTAAACAGTCAGTGATTAGGCCTCACAGAAACCTCTGTTCAGTTTGATCACCCTCACCTTAAATAAATGGAAACTGAGGTGGACAGAGGTTAAGAGACTTGCTCGAGGCCATAGAACAATTGAGTGTTAGAACTGATATCCAGACCTTCTGCTTCCCAGTCCTGTCGTCTAACCACTGTCTCACAAATCATCACACAGTGTAACATATGAAATAAAAACCTGGCTTGTGATTTTAATAGCTTGTTAAGGAACTTCTTTCAGTTCTTACTCTGTATGAAGAAAGCGTCATTAACAGTTTATGAGATATCATTTGACATATTGAAAGATAGAGTGCTTAGAGTCTTACGTTCTTGGAAAGATGTGAAGAGCATCTGGAATCGGCTGTTTCGACTGCCTTCATCTGCCCACATGCGGATTACCCCAAGACCTGTACGCAGCATCACATCATTAGCAACAGTGCTACAAAATTTAGCTTTTAAATCCTCCACTGAGCTACTTCCATCATAGACAGCCACAAAATTCCTTTTGCATTCATTTGAATTCTGCATTTCATAGTCCAAGAATCGTAAATAGATCTACAAAAGAACAACAACAATAAAAGAACTGTATAAACCAAAACAGGAACAAGAACAATTAAACAGCACTTTTCCCTGTGGTGACAAATAGACACTTGAACTATAATCAGATCACCATCTTTTTGCTTTTAGAGGTGACAAAACACAGGCCACTTTTATTGTTTTTTCATCAATACACTAACTGAGTACTGTTTATTCTTCATCACATTTTGCCTTGTTCTAAAGTCTAGTCCAAAGGAGGTCCAAATGCTTCTTTTCTTCCCTATTCTGAGACCCCGAGCTTCCAATTTAAACTCCTAAATGTATCCCTTTTCGGAGAAGCAAGTGTGTCCTCTAATCACCCAGCCTGATGACAGGTCAGAAACTTCTTCCTGTACTGACACAATATTGCTCAATTACTCACCCAGCCAGAAGAATAATAAGGCAAATACTTGCAGCTCCCTCCAGACAGTCAATGTGTGTCATCCTTGTGACATAGCTAAGCTCCACTGACTCAGGAAGTGAGAATCGAGAAGCCATTCAGAACCCAAACATTAATCTCTTCATGTTTCCTCAAGCAGTCTGGCCACCATCTCGGTCTTTATCAACAAAGCCCTTATCATTAAGTCAACAGGGATGAAACCAACCGTATTTCAGAGAAATTAAGCTAAAACCCTATGAGTCTTTAATAAAAAAAATATTTTTTTTTCTGAAATTTTAAGCCATCTTATCAAATGTAACTAAAATAATTATCCTGGCTAGAGAATCCAGTAAAACAGTTTATTCATTTTAAGGAAAACTTATTCTCAATTGAAATCTATATGACCTCCAATAGAGGAAGCCATATTACTGATTTGAGAGCCTTTCCTAATAAATTAAAGCAAAATCAAACATACCAGTGTTACAGAAAGTAAATCAGAGGTTAGGCAGGCACATGATATACAATTAGACCATAAAGGATAAGCAGAACACCTTAGGAAAATATTGAAGAAAGCTAAATTACAGAGAAAAAAAAATCAATCAATCTATACATCTATACATGTATTTGAACCCAATGATTGAATGTATCCCAAAGCTGCATCTTTACTTCGAAACAAAAAACAAAAATAAAACCCCATCCAACTGACGTAGTAATCAGCATTACTTCTCCCTCCAATGAACTTTCTGCACAAAAAAATCTTGACTTCAAATAGTTCTTCCTATGAAAAGACAGAAGGGGAAGAGCACAATCTCTCTATTTTTGTGGCTTTGAGAAAGTATATAAGCACAACTCCTCCCAGACAATATGGAGGAATCTAGATGTCACGACACTCATGTTTCAAATCTCCTACTGCTTAGAATGAATGGGCACTATTGTACAGCCTGCCACTTCACAGTGTATATTTCCAAATTACCTATTAAATTTTTAGATACAGCATTGAATCCATTGGTACTTTTTATCCCTGACAAGTAGTCTCTCTTTAGAGAATGCTATGAATAGGATTTGTGATAATCAAGCCAGAGCATGAAAATAGGGTTGCTTGATTTCATTATGTTCATCTAGTCCTTATTTTAATTGTGCATTATTTTTTATTTACATAGTATGTTTCACCCCAGGTTTTAAAGATGGTTTACAAACATTAATTGAAAGCCACAACACTTTTGTGAATGTTAACATTCTCATTTTACAAATGAGGAAACCGGGTCACAGAGCAGGTAAGTGACCAAAGTAACAGTGTATCAGTAGCAGAACTATGAACCAGAAATCCTGACCTCTAATCCCATTCTCTAGCTACTAGCTCAAGCTCTTTCCCAGTGGATGTACTGGAGTAGTCATACACTGATGAGCATGACTGAGAGGGTTATGTTCCAACCAAATTGCTCTAATGTGATTTTTACTCCTGAACAGTTTAGAGGATTTTATAAGAAACCATAAGTTGAAGAGACTTAAGTTGTGTTGATCTATAAAAGTGGAACATGTTGCTTTTATCCATAAACTCTTCTGTCTGCAAAATGTTATTTCATTGAGTTCTATCTACAGTACTGTACTTAGCATGTAACACACACAATTAAGAGTTGAAGTTGACAGAAGAATTATTACATTGCTCTTTTTCGTGTGTTGTCAAACTTTCCTCACCGTACTGACCTTTTTAAAGGCACATTGTCTTGGAGACCACCTCTGCTATCACTCATGAGTATATATAATTCATCCCTGGGGCATCTATAGCAATTACTTACATAGCAAAGTAGAAATTAGGAACTATTTATGTATAATAAGTGTATTTTTTAAAAGTTAATCTGTGTTTTGCTTTTACTGTCACCTCCCTTACTATCTGTTCTGTTCCTCTCTCTTTCCCCGGCTACCTTCTCCTGCACATGAATGCTGCCCAAACACTCATCCTCTTCTCCCTCTGGTCCTCAACTTCTTCATTCTCCTCCTACTTCCTCCCTCACCCCAACTACCCCAGATGTTCCTCTGTTACTGACAGCTTGTTTCTCTAGTCCCATAGGAGATTCCAGTCCTCACAGTAGCTCCTAATTCCTCTCCTCCACTTCTTAAATAGCATTAGCCCCTGATACAGACTACTTTGTATCCAGAAGTCTTTTACAAGCTCCAGGCTTCTGTTTGCTGGGAAGATTCGGTATATCTGTAGGAGGAGCTGGAAACAAGCAAGAGAGTCTCCAACAAGCACTCACCCAGATCTCTACAGGCCACCAGCAGATGACTGTGAATTCTAGGCAATTACTTTTCTTTTAAAGGGCCAGATTGTGAGTGTCTCCTGGCATTCCTATGGAGCAGGGAGAGGTAAACTGGAATATTTCCTCTTCCTTGCATCGTTGTGCAGGGCCTCTCCACAGTAGCAGCCCATATGCTCGGGGAAGCATATGCCCCTGCCAAAGCAAGACTCTGAAAAAAGGGGTGGGTGGGAAAGACAGGGTGATGCCACTTCTGTACTGATGGCTCATATGCTGTGGAGTACAGTCTGTCACATTCTACTGAATAGAGCAGATTGCTCATTCCCTGTGCGCAAAGAGAAGCACAACAGACATTGAAGCAAATCCCCGCCCCCCAGTGCTCGTCCTGCACTAGTGCAGCTCTGCATAACATCCTGCGCTAGATGGAGACGTAAATGTTTATCTTACTTTCCTATGCTCCTTAGATGGGCACTGTGGTTACAAGTTATGGTAAAGGGGGATGGCGGAATACATGGCTTTTTCTGAGGTCAGCCCCAACATCATACCGTGATCTGGCATTTGTGACAAGCAGTGTCACCCACATCCTCTCCTGGGGACTGCAACCAGTGTTTTACCAATATACCAGTTCTCGAGAAAGTGTGGAGTATGGATCTACTCTCACATGTGGATCTCTGATAGGGAACCCCAGAGGGCCTTCACCACTTCATTGAAGTTAATTACTATATTTATACCCCAACTGCACTCTCCACAAGGAAGGAGCATTTGAAAGTATGGCTGAATCTTTCATGCCAACTACTCTCCCATTCCAAAAAACACACAAATGCATTATTCTAAAAGCTGAATAATAATAAGACTAGTTTAGGGGTAACAGCTTTCATTCCTGACAAAATAAATCTGGGGCAATTTTCATCACTTTTACTTAATACCATGCTCACACTATATTGTTAACACTCGGTGCAATTTATTCATCCATTCACTATAGGCATTCACTTCACACATTCCTCTTTATTTCTGCAGGCTTCTGTTTTGAAGACCTCCGGTGGTCTACCACCCTTTAACCTTATAAAACAGTAGACTATTTCTGAAAGTAGGTTAATATGAGAGCAGACAAGGAACAAACAGGATGATAATGTGGATTTTCACCTCCCCGTTGTTTGCAAACAAGCCAACAGTCTGAAGTTCATAAATAAAATATATTTGTTTCCTAGTCCCAATTCTATTTTCAGTCACAGGACTTCAGCTCTGGCATTACCTGGGAGCACAGTTTGGTATAGTAAATATAGATTTGTCAGAACTCAGCATTGATGCATTAGATTCAAATAATTAGCGTAAACCTGTGTGTCAAGCGTGCAAAAGAAAGAGAGCCGCTCCAGAACCAAAATGTAGATTTGTACATTCAAACCAAGGAAGACCTGATCCTGTCAGTTTCCATGTACTCACAACTCTCAGTGATCGTCACAGGAGTTGAGTGCATTCAGAACGTCACACAAGGAAACCAAGTCTTGATCCAAAGCGTATTGAAATCAATCAGTGCCTTTCATTTGACTTCAGTTGGGTTTGGATCAGTCCCACAATGCTTCACAAGATCAAAGACCTAATTCAGTGCATTACTAAAAATTGAATCACAATTAAAAGGACTCTGACAACTTGGTATCTGGTCAGCTAAAAAAAAAAAAGAGCTAAAAGTAATCTCAGTTACTATACCACCTGCTCCTTCATGCCTCTGCTAATTTGTGTAGTTTTATCATTATATATTCCTATATTTCTCTAACCTGATGATGTGTGAAACAGCCACACAAATAGTGGAAGCTGACTAGCAAACTGATTATGCTGGAAGAAAGAGTAAAACTGACTGTGCTGTCTAATTCACAATGCTCATGATCGAAAACCCAAGTTTACTGAACTTTGGGTCAGGCTTAAAGTGATCCAACTTAAAATGAGAGCATTTTTTCTAATCTCATTTATTCTGATTTTAAGTGCTATTTGTAATGCCAGTACATAAGAGACTTTCACACAAAAGTTAACTGAGTCCTCTAAAATAAATGTAAGGCCTGTTCTAGCCCCCATTCAGGTCTTTAGGAGTTTTGCCACTGATTTCAATGTGGAATAACTGAGTTGCTAGCATTTGAAGTAAGCACTTGCACATGACCATATTCAGTATTAGGAGGTCTTTCTTATTTAACTATACCATATACTATAAAGTAGAAACATAACCACGGTATCTTCTTTTTCCACATTTATGTCAGAAAATTTCAGTGAAACCCTTTTCTTCAAACCACCAATTCCACATTATACTGGGGGGGTGGGGAGCAAAGGACCAGCACAGTTTTAGAGCATTCGTTTTTACAGAGCTTTGAGATGCCGCTGCAAATGCCAATGCTATTACCAACAAAAATGATAAAGCTTCACTGTAGCTGTGGCATATATAATTTATATCCCCTGATCTCATTGTGGTTTAAATAATTGTCTCGTCACCTTTCAGGTTTGTATTTTTATCATAATAATGAAAAACGAAATGCTGGTTAAATTGTACTATTTTTTATTTAGCTTTGAAATTAACGAAAAGCTCTGACTGACTATATTAAAGGAAAAGAAAGATTGTAAACTGTGAATAATATATAACTTCAGGAAAACAGTCAGATTATAATCTCTTCATTGTGAATCACTTTTGATGAGTTCTTCTTTTTTAATCATTCACCAAAAGTTTGAGCTGACAATGTGATTGATGAGGCAGGTTAGGAAAAGCTTCAAACCACTTCCCAGAATAACTGCCTTAATACTTGTGTGCAAAAAATCAGTTCTTTATAAGGCACCAAAACAAAGCACATAATAAAGAAAGGATTTATTCAACTGCCAAGAATAATGTGTGTGAAAGAAAAGCTCCTTTCGCTCTAGATCTGACTTCAAAATCCTGTTCACCTGGACCTCTGCTGCAGCTAATTCCCCTGGTGCCTAGGTGGTGTAGGTAGGCCTATGCCACCCTCCTGTGCAGCTCCTGGAATAGGAACATATCAAGGATGAGGAGGGGTGCGTGGCTGGCGCACTTTGCATTCTGGATATTCCGAACTGTGGAACAGAACAAAGACATCTGTGCAAAGCTGTTATAAATCAGAGCAGCACTGGGCGCTGCCCTAACTTATTCTGCAGGCTATGCCAGCTCCAGAAGCAGCCCAGAATTAGGGAAGCATAAATGTTGGTTTTTTTGCTGATACACCTATCAATAACTAATTTTGCAGTATGGTGCAATAATCGTTTTCAGTCTACACATTCAACATTGGTCATAGCTCTTTATTCTAGCAGAGAATGGGAATCCTGTCTATTTAGTGGAAAGCCTGTATTTATATTGCAATTATATGAAAGTAATCTAATAAATAGGAGCTTAAAGTAGGTATTTGCAATAATCCTGTTCTATCCTTTGCCACACAACATTCCACATTTCCTTCAAACTTTCACTGAATAGAGAAATGCTGCCACAAATCTGTCATCTCATGTTATGTAACTCTCAGGCACCTTTTCCTTTTGGATACTGAATGCCAAAATGTTATAAAAGATAGGCACATTCTGTTCATTCTGCTCTGTAATAACACACAAAATGATTTATCACCCAGCTTTCTAAAGTTGGTGTGCACACAGACTCTAGTTTGCAAAGCCTGGACTCTGAGGCAGTTCTGCCGAGGGGGTAGTGCCCTCACGTCACTGGTAAAAAAACATTTTTTGAACACCAACTGCTGCGCTGCCTTTAGAAAATGTCTGTGGAAATAGGTGAGGAGCGCAAAGTTATTCCACTCCGGAAGAGAGGAGAAATGGTGTGCTATTCATCTGTAATTAATCCAAGTGTTCATTGCGGAGTAAAGCTGCAAAAATAATGTATTTTTCACTTGGTGGCTGAAATATAAAACCAAAAAAAAAAAATGTTTCTGGTCAAACCCTAACTGAAATTTTTATTACTATTTTGTTTCATTTTAATCATTTTTTAAAAATAAAACTAGCTAAATTTCAAAATGAAACATTGGCTTGAAACTAAAAGTCAAGATGTTTCATTTCAAAAACATTAAAATGAAACATTTTGACTGAAAAAAAGTCATCAAAACTATCAGTTGAATTCAATCTAAATTTCTGAATATTTTTGTTGATCTCAAACTGGGTGAAGAAACTATTTATCTGAAAAAATTTGCCCAACTTTACTGAGCTGGCCCTGGACAAATGAGACACTATAATAAAACCAAAGAAGGGAACGATTAGATTAAGGGGAAATATCCCTTTGCTATATTCTATTGGAGAAACAATGACAAAAACTTTGACAACTACGGAGGAAAAATAAGAATGGGGAGTCTATTCATCAGTGGGACACTCTCAGAAGTATAGGGCCCAGATTAAAGATATATGAATTTACCGTGGCTCTGTTTTCACTAATTTCCAGGATGACAAACAGAAGATGATACTATTGGATTTGGCAATGTTTTTTAAACATTTCATATACTGGACACATGATCTTAGTGTCAACATAAAGATGGGGAGTAAAATATGGAAAATAAAGGGATACATCACCTCACAGTTAACAAGATTTGCTGATTCTTTGAAGCTCAGAGCAAAGATGTGTTGGAGAAAATTACCCATTATGCTGCCCACATTGTTATTTATAGCAAATGAAGGTTACTGTGACAGCAAGGTGATATATCACATTCCAACACTGAAGAAAAATAATAGTTTAAAAGTTCAACACTGCAAAATTGCTAAGCAAAACTCGTGTGTACAAAAAAAATACACCATATTTGTATTCTTAAATTAAGTGCCAAATCAGTGAGTAGATGCAGGACTGACCTTGGATCGTGGTGGTGCTCGGATGTACCATTTACAGTCAACTGCCTCCATATCAGAAGCTTTTCCTTCCTTCACAATTTGCACAGATTCCACAATTCCTTCAGGTCCTCCCATCTCAAACTCACAAACTGAATAACAAAATACCACAAAAATGAAACCTGAACAGCAAGCAAAAAATATTTTCTACAGCAGAAGGCAAAGGCCTCCGAGTTTTATGAAATATCGAGCATACCAACCTGGCAATGGTTTCAAAACTCCCAGGTCCTTAAAGTCCGGATCTTAAAAATTTAGAAAGGAGAAAATCAATATTCAATATTTTTGTTATAACATTTAGTTGAGTAGAATATTACAGGCAATTGTGGGAGAATATCTATACACTTATTTCCCAGAAATTTTTAAAGACCACAGCAACAATTGATAATGCAAAACATGTTGCCATTTTACTATTAAGCTCTTTTTATTTTTCATTATGAAAATCTGCTACGGTCATAATTGTCTTTGTCTCCATCCCTATTTCCTATTACTGAACACAAAAGATGTTTTCAGGGCAAGCACACCAGACAGCCATCCCTTTGGTGTTTTGATGCAGCAAGCTAATGCAAGTGGTTATCTTTCCAGACATTGCACACTGGATCCCCTTGCCTACTTTACAAACCCTTGCACGGCATGGTTACTATGGCTAGAGGAACTTACACTGCAGTTCATGATATCTGAATGGTCTGCAACCCCAATTGATAGTGCACTAGTTGAGCCACTGTCGTCAAAAATCATCCTCGTGGACGTTAATAACAGTACCAGTTTTCCAGGGGATACGAGTGAACAAATTTAATGAATATAATGCAGCTTGCTGTTTTAGTGCATACACACACACACACACACACACACACACACACACACAAAACTATCTTTAATTTCTGAGAAATGTTGTATCCTATTTATAGCCAAGTGCGTGACTTACGTGAAACGAGATTGGTCTCAGCTCTGTGCCCTAGTAGACAAGTGTCCACGTTATACAGATCAGCATTTCACAAGGTTTGGCACAGTCTGAAGACACTATTCAAGAGAAGCCCAGAACTGAAATGTGAAAGGGACTAAAATATTTCAAGAGAGGATGATCTCTTGAGATTAGATTAGTCATTGTTCAGGAATCACAGTGTATCACATCATCATTCTCCTTGACATGCATATTCCAGCTTCCAACAGGTTGTCTCTTTATCTTCATGAGAAAGAAAACAAGGGAAACAAAGGAGCTGGTCTTGATATTTTTGTCAAAATTCATAAAATTTGGTCTCCCCAGATTGGTGACAAATACTTATGACACATACTTTGTCACAACTTCTCCTGGACGTTTTAGAATTATGAGCCACCTTTTCCCCAGACTTCACTGGGATAGTTCAAGATATAAGCCATGATAGAGTTTGGTCCAGTGCATCTATGTATTCAATAGATTTTATTTTATTGTCTCAGAAGTAGGTCACTGTATCAAAAGCCTAAAAGCATGAAAAAAATTCTTCAGAAATATGGAAATGCTGCACAATTTCTGCAATGCCATCTCAACCTGGACTAGTCAATGCAAGGAGAAGAAGAACAAGAAAGAATGTTCAGTTTATTGAATGAGTTATGATATATTGGCTTTAAAAATTAAATCCGTAAAATCACCCTGTGACACTATGTGTCTGTACACTTTAGTGTGCATTTATGTTCTTTGCAATTATCTGTTGTTGTTTCAGAATATAGGTCTTAGTTAAATGCCCACAAACTAAAGGGACTGCAGATATATCTGAGCAGACAATCAGCATTAATTGTTAAGCAGAAGACATTTTAAAAAACAACCCTAAATTTAATTAAATAAACTAGTTAATGAATTTAGATGCCAATACCTATAACTGAAAGCAAGACATTTATATAACTGGAATCTATTTAATTTAACTACAAACTCAAATTAACATCCAAACCACAGAATCCTACATACAATGCAGCCATTCAGTTTTCTCTAACAGCTGGTTTAAACCTTCATGGGCTGGATTCTCAGGTCTGCTGAGGCAACTTTAAGGCCATTTTGTGTTGCTTACGTGGTGCACGGTGCCAGGAGAAAGGCAGTAGAGAGTTCTTCCTGTACCAGTTAACTCTTGAGTGGTAGAAGTGGCTCTGTCACCTGCTGCTCCAGATGCCCCGTCACAACGTAAGGGGGGGGAGGGGGCGAGATGATGTAGGTGGGAGAGGGCCTGACAAAAATGAACTCTGCTGCACAAATCCTTGTAGGCATAAGTTACGGCTGCCCCAAAGCACAAACATCTCGCTTCAGGGCTGAGATGCTCTGAATCACAGAGCCACAACAATGTCCCCATAGCCCCTATCTCAGATGGAGTGGAGACTCAGGCCCAAGCTGTTTTATTCATTTTAATCTACAAGGGGGGGGGATTTAGAATATTCATAATAAGATTTAAATAAGTTGGGGCAGTACAAGTGCAAGGCCTCATCAATTTCTTGTCTTCAGTTAGCAACAGAGAGCACCATCATACCCACACATACACCCTCCTTGAAGGTTGCCACAGCTTCTCCGAGAAGGAGGGTCATTCTGGTCATGTGTTATGTTTGCTGAGGATAGGGGGCAGGCCCTTCAAGGCCTCTCTTGCCCCCTCCCCAGGGTCTCTGGACAGTTCCAGAGACTTTTACAGAGGGGGAAAGAGGCAGGAATGTGGCAAGTGGTGATAGCTTCCTAAGAACAAAGTATTGAATGAAGGAATAGAAAATATATTCTGACGAACTAGGAAACAAAGGTTTCAATCTATAAGCCCTTGACAGAAGCAGAATTGGAAGAATTCTTGTACTTTGAATAAAAATCTAGTGAAGATTTCCAAGCTGGAAGAAATTTTTTTGTTTCCTTTTTTTTCCAAACTGAACTTCTGAAGTGGAAGACAATAGCACAGATCTAAATGCACCAAGATAAAGTGGGACACATCTGCTGTAGTTTCTTGATGTAAAACTCACTTCACATCCTATTTCACTAGATGACCTTCACCTGTGTAACTTGTTCTTTCTTTCAAGTGGCTTGTAGATTTTAAGGCCAGAAGGGACCATAAGGATCATCTAGCCTGATCTGCTGCATAACACAGGCCCAGTATTTTCACTTAGTAATTCTTGTATCAAGCCCAATCAGAGCCAGAATACAGGCTCACTTGTTCCAAGAGGATTTTAATTAACTCATGTGGAAGTTCCTTGGGCTTGATTTTCAGAGGTGCTGGAGACCTCTATCTCCCATTGACGTCTACTGGGGATGTGGCTGCTCAGGACTTTTGAAAACCTGTCCTTCTGAAGCTTTTCTGTAGGAAAATAATGAGGTTTGATTTTGAGACTAAAGAAAAACTAAGGTGCCCAGATGCTACTCCACATAGGCTCCATAAAATATAAATATTGGATACACAAATACATAATAAATAAATAAAGCAACAACCTAGAATAGAAGTTATACATTATAGATGAGGCTGAATTTGAACCATGTTCAAACAGTTTGTTATTTGAATAACACATAGCTAGTAGATTTGTTTGTTTTTGAAATAATATAATGCTAAATGGTTTATTTTAGAAGACTGCTGTTTATGATTTTAAAAAACAGATGGTGCATGTTTTATTATTAGTTCTGCTCAGTCATAGTAAAGCAGAGCAGAACCTTTGTTAAGTTATTTATAAACTGAGTGGCTAAATCTTCTGATTGGTGACAAACATCCTGTTGCTAGCAGCTGGAGGAAACAATGGGCAAATCCAGGAGGATCTACAAGGCAGCAAAACAGGATAGGATAGAGGAACCTCTAAGGGAAATTGGAGTGCATCAGAAAGTCTCTGGAGGGAATCTCTAGAAGGGGCAGATGCCTTGCAATCTCTATAAAGATAGCATGGAGAAAAGCATGAAGAATTTCCATGGGAGGGTGCAGGAATGCATTTGAATCTATAAATGGAAAGTTTTGTAGCATATTTGGTTTGCTTTTAAAAAGATCATATTGAGTATTTACAGGAACAACAAAGGTCTCTGAAAGGAATGAGAGATGTCAAGGCACCTTTAAAGTGGATGGTGTTGCAGCCCATTTCACAATTAATGGAATTCCTAAAAATCAAATACATATAAAACTCACTGGAAAGATTCTGAGAAGCAGAAGTACAGCAAAGGCTTCTTATGAGAGAGTAAAGGAGTGCATTGGGATGTTTAGAGTGGGTTGCAGGAAAACAGGAAAGATGTGGGAGTTCACCAGGATCCATAAAGAGAGGGCAGGGGTTATCTATGGCATTTGTAAAAATGGATGACATCTCTTACATAAGGGGAGTATGAGAGCACTGGGGATCTCAATAGGAGACAGGGGAAGAGAACATTAAAGGTGTTTCCATGGGCAGGAGCTTATCAAAGATCACTATAGTGGGCATGTCAGTAAATTCTTCAAAAAGTAAATCAACATCATCATTTTTTCCAGGCAGTTTAAGCAAATAGCCGTGCAGCTATATAGCCCCACACAAGCACACCCATTAGCTCATTGAAGGTCACTGCAGCCTGGCCAATAACTAAACTACCTAGTTAATGTTTTGGTCAGACAATTTACGAAGTAATGCCTGATTCACTTTTTCTTACTCATAACAAAATTAATCTGGGGCCAAATCCTGTGTGGTGCTGAGCGTTTTCAACTGGCACTGACTTCAGTGGATGTCAAGCACCCTCAGCACTTCACAAGAGTGTTATAAATGCGCAACTTCACACAGTTTCAAACTTCACATACTTATACCAAGAAGACATGATGGACAACGCTGTTATTTACTTATTATTTAAACATATATGTAGCAAATTGTGCAACAAAAATGTACAATTACTATAACGTTGCAATATGTAAGCAAAACAAACTCTCCAAAACATGTTCAAAATAATTCTGCACCAATTCAACATTCTGGAAAAAAAAGTACAAAATATGCCCAATATTACTTCTCAATGGACACACAACACAGATTCCATAATGCCTACTGTAGATATTTCTCTATTGTGCTGAACTAAAACCAAAGTTTCACATAACACACACCACTTCAAAGGAGACATCACTCATGACAACAAGCAACATAATACCAGATTCCATGTTGCATACACATTTGGAAAACAAGCATATTTCACATTGCAGCACAGATGTCACAGACTTTCCAAATTCAAAAACAAACATTTGGCATATATTCTGGAATTTGTGTAACTGAATGCTTTATGTTAATGTAGGATGTATTTGGAATATGTGTTGGGAGAAAGTAGAAA